TGCTGAAGTTAAGAGATTATCCATTTCTAGTGGATGAATAGAGTGTTTATATATTACTCCAGACATTTCTACAAATATTTCCACCAAATCCTTTATAGTGTGAATTACAATTTGAATAGAAAAGTAGAAACAACATAAAATAGAACTGAATGATTATAGTGATAAGCAAAAGTGGGTGCTCAATCTGTGCAAAAAAAAAAGAATCTCTCCTCATATTTAGGACTGATCCTCCCCGAAATAGGAGCAGAGAATCTTACAGAATTAGAATGTATAGTGGCAGATGCCAGGATGTAAAAAATGGAATTGTTTATCGAAGTTTATTTTAAAGAGTAAAAGACAAGAGAGAGAGAAAAACAAAAAAATAGAGAGAGATGCTAAAATGGAATTCTTTAGCATAACAATATACAATGGATTTATTGAGGATCTTTTAAAAAATTGAAAATTATTATCAGATTAAAAGTGAGAAAGCTATTGGCTCCTGTCATGGGAAATAAATGTAGTGCTCAGCAGAGGATAAAAAATGGAATGTAAAACAGGTTACAGGGTGTTGAGAATTATATAGAAAGGCAAAATATATTAAAAAAAAAAAAGTCTTTAGGGGCCGGAGTGATAGCATAGTGGGTAGGGCGTTTGCCTTGCATGCAGCCGACCTGGGTTCAATCTCCAGCATCCCATATGGTTCCCCAAGCACTGCCAGGAATAATTCCTGAGTGCAGAGCCAGGAATAACCCCTGAGCATCGCTGGGTGTGACCCTAAAAGCAAAAAAAAATGTCTTTAGAAAATCTGATTTTAGACAAAGAAGTGAATCTGAGAATGGAGAATTATGATAACAACGGGATAGATATTTTTTCTGACTTTCTAGTAAATTACGCATAAATTATATAACTACCTTTAGAGATTGAAATGTGGAAGAGAGTTGGACAAGGTGATAGATTTGAAGAAATAAGTTAAAAAATATCCTAATAATATAGTTCAAGGACTTAAAAGCAAAGGGAAAAAAATGAATAAGTCTTGGAAAAGGGAGAACTAATGGAGATGGGAATAATCCCGAAGAACTTAAATATTTATTCATTATGAAAGGGCATTTAAATTCCTGGATCATTACCTACAATTCTATTTTTAGAATGATAAGATTTTGTCACCTAATTTCATACCTAAAGCCAAAAATATTGTAGAGTTTTGACCCAAAATCACAGGAAAAGGTAAATTTTCTAATCACAAATAAAAACTGCAGTAGGAATTAAATGGATTAATTTACTTGCAAATAACTTACTAACTTTAAAGAGCAGATACATTCTGTGGATTGATAGAGAATTCAACTACATTTACTCATGTTTATCAACTTCAAAAACGAAGGACTTCTTTTATTCCACAAAACTTTTATTTTTCCTAGTCACACACAGAGGTATTCAGGGCTTATTCCTGGCTCTACACACAGGGATCGCTCCTGGCAGGCTTTGAGGACCATATAGGGTTCAGGAGATGGAACCTGGGCTATACCATCATGCTGGCTGCCACAATTTTGTAAAACTTTTAAAAGACTAATGTGGTGTTGATAAGATATCTGTATTTCAAGAAAATTATTGTTTTTTTCTTAAAAATTTTGTCTAAGATAATATAAAATAGAGTTGGAAAGCACTGTAATATTGTTTCTATTTTATTTCTTGCTTTTTGGGGTCACACCCAATGATACATGGGGTTACTCCTGGCTCATGCACTCAGAAATTACTCCTGGTGGTGTTCGGGGGACCATATGGGATGCTGGGAATCAAACTCGGGACGACCGCGTGCAAGGCAAATGCTCTACTCGCTGTACTATCACTCTAGTCCCTGTAATATTATTTTAGATACTGGGCAAAAGCTTCAATTTGGCTAGGGCATTTTTTGGGAAATGCCTTATTTTTGTTTGTGACAAAACATAATTTTCCATAATTTTTTTTTGCTCTAAGAACCATATTATTGACAAAGTAGTTTTAGGAATTTTCTTTTAACATTCATTTGAACTAGTTAACCAAACCAAGAATAACAGGTGGGCAGAGAAGCTTGGAGGGTCCCGTGAGGCAATGATGTAGGGAAGAAGAACTTGGGTAGAAGGTGTGACCTTCAATTTTGTATTCGTGGAACCTTTCATTACAGTAGTAATGCTTATCGTGATACCTTGAATAAATAAATAAATAAATATATTTTAAAAAACCTTCCTATGGAGGGGATAGACGCTTTGCCTGCAACCACTTCTATTTGATCCTCTGCACTCCATATGGTCCCTGGAGTCTGCTAAAAATGATTGCTGAACCCATATGCCCCCTCCAAAACAAACAAAGAAACAAATAAAAAGCCTTCCCATGGAGTTAAAAAATATCATAGTTTTTAAACTTATCAATATTAAGTGACATGACCAAGTTTAGTATTGGAAACTTAATAAATATTTGAGTGACATAGTAAGTGTTCACACAGCACAAAGAACTAGAGACAGAAAAATGAGTAGGAACATGAACTTGGACACCATGTGTCCCATTTTTCTTAATCATATTTTAAGTAATATGAATGTTAACAGTTTTCTTTGAAATTGGGTTGACACATCAATGATTTGTCTATACTTAAATGTGTTCTGATAGAATACATATAGAATGAATTTCAGTATTCATCAATAATAGGTTATTCTCTTGTAACATGCATTACTAAGAATTCAGGTTTTGTGTTTATTGATAATTTTATTTTCCAACTTCAAGACTGAGAAGAAAATTACTTTATATGCCAAGTCCTAAGGTCAATTTTATTGACACTTTTGTAAAATTAAGAAAAAAGATCTCAATAAACTTCTTTGTGAGTATTTATAAATCATCATTTTTGTGACACATTCATAAATACCATAGAATTTTATCTTCAAAATGTTATTACAAATATGATTGTGTAATTAATAGATGAAAAGAAGAGTTACTGCATAAGTTGTACACTACTGAAAATCAGTACACTAATTCAGAGAATGAAAACATAAATCAACAATGTAACTGTAAGGAAATACTCACATAAACCTAAAAGTTAAACATAGAAAATGAATGATTTCCTTTCATAATTTTTATTGGGTGAAAATTTTAAAATAACAAAATTAAACAGTGCTTACTAAAATTACAATAGGTCATGAAATTAATTAAAAAACAATGTTTAAATTGTAACATCAAGTGTTTGGATATTTAAGAAACAATGGTTATGGATATGGAAAAAAACACAACAAAAAGGATATAAAGTTACCACTATATTATTTCAAATTCAGTGGAATGTGTTTTTGGACTGGAGCAATAGCACAGCAAGTAGGGCATTTGCCTTGCACGCGGCGGACCTGGTCAACCTGAGTTTGACTCCTCCACCCCGCTCGGAGAGTCCGGTAAGCTACCAAGAGTATCTCGCCCACATGGCAAAGCCTGACAAGCTACCCATGACGTATTCGATATGCCAAACACAGTGACAACAAGTCTCACAATGTTTCTGGGCCCACTCAAGCAATGTGATGAACAATGGAGGACAATGACAGTGACAGTGTTTTTGGTAGACATACTATTAAAATATCCCTCCTATTAGAAAGCTTTACTATTTTTAAGAATATTTCATAACCAGAGATAGAGTTCAACTGGCTTGGCACAGGGTCTTTCTGTGGGAAGCCTGGGTTTGATATCTGATACCACATGCTTCCTTCCATGTCTCCACCCACTAAAAATCAAAACATAAAAATAGAGAGATTATTTTATAGCTCATTGTGATATATCCAAGTCTCTCCTTAAAGCAGATGCAAATGTCTAATAATCTATAGAATATGAATAGGTCATATCAAGGAATAGAATTCCCACTAGCTTTCCGTACTTGGAACTTAAAATAACTCCCCAAAAAGTTAATTTGGTAAAACATTGCTCTTAAAAATGTATTTATTTAGTTAGTTTTTTGGGTCACAGCTGGTGGTGCTCAGGGTTTATTCCTGGTTCTGGGCTCAGGGATCACCACTGGAGGAGCTTCAGGACTATATGGGGTACTGAGGGTGAAACCCTGGTCAGCCAGGTTCTCCTTGCTTTGCAGTTTCTCTGGATCCTACATGAGCAGTAGTCTAAAGACTATGTGAGCAGTATAAAATTCATAGACATTATGAATGATTGTTTACATGATAAGTTGTCTGGAATTTTATATCAAATCAAAAGGGAAGGTACAGGTAAATTAAAACAAACAAACAATTGAAAGGACTTGAAAAACTATAATAGGTGAAAGGTAATATTCACATTCTTTCCCATATCTTCTCCCTATTATATGGTGTTTAAAACTAAGTTTAGTGATCTGATAAATCTGGGTTTATAGATACTAATTACTAGTTGTGTGAACTTCAGCAAGAATATGTCCATAGGTTACTTACACAATGTATTAACCTCAACTTCTTCATCATTTAAAAAAAGGAAATAAAACAGAACCCTATTTATAACACCATAAAGGTAAAGGTAAAGGCCCTCCCGTTGATCGTCGATTTGCTCGAGCGGGCCCAGTAACGTCTCCATTGGAGACTTTGTTGTTACTGTGTCTGGCATATCCAATACTCTCGGTAGCTTGCCGGGCTCTCCGAGAGGGGCGGAAGAATCGAACTCGGGTCGGCCATGTTGGCCGCTTGTAAGGCGAACGCCCTACCCGCTGTGCTATCGCAACAGCCCCATAAGGATTATGTGATAAAGCATAAACAAAAATTCAGCACAGTGGCTGACCCAGTCCGCTCCGTAGTGTTTTCAACAATTTTACTTCTCCAAGCGTTCCTAATGAGTTTCAGGATAGAACACACCTTAAGAGTAATAAGCATAATCATCTATCTATGCATATATGTGTAATCCGTACTCATAAAATATAGAAAACTATGCTTGAATTTACTAATCCATGCTTGAATGTGCTTAATAATAGTTTTTAGAATTGCAATGTCACAAGCTTACTCTGTTATTGGATTTTCAGTCACAAAAAGATGAGAGTTCTCACTTACCTTGTCATTTACTACGCTTTTCCCATCCCAAGCCCATCCTCTTTTGGTGAAGTAATTGACAGTTGCAAATTCAATGAGTGCAGAAAACACAAAAGCATAACAAACAGCAATAAACCAGTCCATGGCAGTTGCATAAGCCACTTTGGGAAGAGAATTTCGAGCACTGATGCTTAGAGTCGTCATTGTTAAAACAGTTGTTACTCCTGTAGAAAAAAAGACAGAAACCAAAAGATATAAACAAATGCTGGCAGGAAAGCACTGGAAAAAAATTTAATTTTCTTCTTCAAAAATTTTTATGATGCTAATTTTACTCATTAAAAATGGGAGAGAGTAAAGTAATTATGATTAATAGTTTTTATATTTCTGGATACAAAGACTGAAATGTTCTCAGGTTTCACTTTTTGTATGAATCACTTTTTTCTCTTTTTACTATGGTTGTGATTTAACAGAATGTACAAGATTCAGAATTTTCTATAAGAAAAGCATGTATAGAAAATTAATCCATTGAACATTAACATGAATTTTAAAAAGTACACAAAGCCTCACATTGCTCTGATCCTTGTTTATTTGAATCACATTAAGCAGCACCCTATATCCACACAATGATCACATCAGAATCTCCATTAAGTTCTTCATTCAAAGTGTAACTACTTGAGTAAGTAATTCTAAATTGCTTAGTCTCACAAGAACATAATTTTATAATGAAATTTAGAACATTTTGAAAATAAAAGAAATAACTTTTAATTTTGTTTAAAAAACAAAATAATAAATATAAATCACCACTCTCAAGGGATATTTTCTACTTCTATTGATTTACAATATAATAAAGATCCTTTCATTGCAAAATATTTTCCCCCAGTAGTCAGGGAAGACATAGCTGATAAATAAATAGGAGTTTCCAGTATCAACAGTAAAATATCCACAATTACTTGCTTTAGAGCAGTTCTGATATATTTACCTATATTTACTAAGAAGATGTTAAATTGAAAGGGAATTAAAATCTTTTTAAAAACATTTGCTTATATTTCTCTTTTGTTTCCCTTATGATAAAGCAACTTTTTTTTTTATCTTGTGCACAAAAGTTAGGGATTCAATCATCAATTACTCTATTTAATCATGAATGAATGCACAAAGGAAAATGATGGTAATAGGAACAGAGGTAAATAAAATAATTTAGTACACCTTCTGAATCAATATTAAAAAAATATTTACAGAAATTTTTTGGTCTCACAAGCACAAGACTGTAAAAAGTTCATGTTGAAAAAATGTTTTCCCTTAAAAGACTGGTATGAGAGAATAATTAATAGAATACAAGAAATATACCTACATATACATAAGCTACTACCATACACCAGACACACCACAAAGTTTTAATTTTAGAATCATTTTAGATTTTAAGAAAAAGTTTATAGGTAGTATCAAAAGTTTTCATAAGCCTCAAACCAATTTTCTAATATTATTAGCATCCTACATTGTTATGCTGGTAATAATTAATAAAACGGTATTAAAAATAAAATAAATTTAATTTTTTTCTGCACTGACTCTGCTTTGCTTTAGTCAGTCAGGCAGACAGGGAAGGGCTCCCATGGCAATAGAATTTTGGGGAAGCAATGAAACCAGTAATTTTAGGCTGCAAAAAACTCACTTTCTGAGCACAGGAAATAAGAGCCTCACCTGGTGCCAAGAGACCCAGAGAATGGTGGAACCCCTCTGAGAGAATCTCCAGAAGGAACAAAGGCCAAGAAAAGAAACTTCAAAGAAAACTATTGACCAAGCCAAACTCTACCCCTTGGTAACCACTTTGGCAACCACTAGCAACGGAATCTTAACACTGGTACAGGTTGGATTAACACAATAAAAGGCAACTTGAACAGAGGAGGAACATGTATATGCTGCCTGAGTTCATGTGCTGTTTGTATCCATGTGGCCAAGCATATATGGTGCCTGAGTACATGTGTTGCCCACATCTCCCCTCTTGAGATGTGTATTGGGGCTCTCTCTGCATTTGGAGTCTCTATAGAAGGTGTTGCTCTCTTACTCTCCCTTTCTCTCCCTCCTCCAGAGGCAGAGAGGAGATAAATGGTCACTTTCTCCTGATCCACCTCTGCCACCCCTGGATGGGCTGGGAAGGCTAGGACTGATACAGTCGGAGATGAGCCCCTTCATAGCATGGACCTCTAGTCCTACCAGCCCACCGAGTGGTCATCAAGCCACACCTGATGCCTGCTTTCCTTCTTGGAATGGGAGTTAATTTCCACCACCCGATTTCTTAGGGAGCCATGGACTCAGATGGAGCGAGGAATTGCATTTTTTCAGGAAAAGAAAGCCAGTTCTAGGCCTTACCCAGGCCTTTTGGGTCCTTGTCTTTCTCATAAAAAAAGAATTTTAGGAGGAGACAAGCAGTGAAGTAAAAACATATTATACTTGGAGGTTTTTAGGAAGGGAAAGGAGGGAAAATAGAGAGTAAGATGGTCAAGAGAAGGTGGGCTTTTCCAAAGGCAGAGAGCTTCAACACACATCTCAAGACTAGAAGTACTACTATACCCCCAAGAAGTATATTATGGTGGTTACCAAGGGTTGATAAGAGAAAAACTATGATAAGTAAACTTGGGAACATCCATTTATGGAATAATGTTATCAGTACAAAAAGAACCCATGTCCCAAATTTTCAAATTTCCAAAATCAAATAAAAAAATACTCAGGAAAGATTAAGTAGGGTTAAAACAAACTCATTAATTTATATTTAAATGCAATAAAATTTTATTGGATTGAATGAATTGAACAAATCTAATTTGAAAAGTGGTAAGAGTAGGATTAAAACTACAATTAACTTTGTGTGTTGGCAACACTGTAACTTGTATTTTATTGTAGATTTTTAAAAAATTTACCATAATTTGTGCATCCCTAATATCTCACACTAGATTTGGAATTGATACATATTATCTAGCATTCCTTACTCAAATATATATATGTATATATATATATATGTACATGTATATATACTTACTGGAGAATTATATACATTATATATGATATAATATATACTATACATATTACATACTAGTACACATATTCTTAAGTAAGAATATATATGTACACATAATAAAATATATATGCACATATAAACATATACATATATATTCTTCTTACTGAAGTTAGTGGGCCCCAAGATTGCCTTATATCAGAAGAAAAAAGAAAATCCTTCTTTCCACTTTTATTACCATCAAAATAGTCTATGGCTGAGACGTGGAGTGGTTGCTAGGAAGAGGTATCAGAAACCAAACAGGCATAAAAACCTCTGTAGAACAGAAATGCAAATATGTTGTATACCACCTGCTGCTTACTGATAGAAATGACAGAAAACTAGCATTTTAAAGAAAGTATTACTTAGTATTGCAAAAGAAAAATACCTTCTCCCCACTGTTTATATAGTATATAATGCACTATATACTGTATACAGTCTCCTGCCCCCACGCCTGGCTGTCCTCGCCAGGGCCCCTTGGAGGGGAGCGGGTTGAGTTTTCCTCCCCGCCCTGAACAGGGCTCCGGCAGCCGAAGATCTCCAGGACCAGACACCACCATGCTGAGACCACTCTCCGCACACCTGAAGGTACCAGCAGAGGAACAAAGGCATGCGGGTCCCAGGGCAAGATCTCCAAGCCTACTCGGATCAGGGCTGATCATCCTCCACCCAGATCCTCCAAATTCCAGTAGGCGGGGGTCACACCCACCAACTGGCCCCCTGGCGCTGTGTAATCACATCAACAGCCAAAACTCAGAGACTATAAAAACCAGCTCCCGGAATCGCGACATCTTATTATGACATCTTATTATCTCATTCCTACTTTGGACAAACTTGCAGGCTACCGAATGTAACCTGCCCACATGGCAGAGTCTGGCAAACTCTCCATGGCGTACCCAATATGACAAATACCAGTAACAATGATGGGTCTCATTCTCCTAAAGAGTCTTGAATATAGCACTTTCTTAAAAATCTCAGGGCTAGGATGAAGGAGACGTTACTGGGGCCTGCTCGAGGCAATCGACGAATAACAGGATGGTCGTGATTCGTGATATACTGTATACATGACTATAGACAAAGATTATATACGATATAAAATGTGATCTCATTGTTTCATTTTGATTAGGCCCACAAACAATGATACCCAGAGATTACTCTTGGCTCTGCACTCAGGAATCACTCCTAGCAGTGCTCAGGGAACTATAGTGGTGTTGAGGATCAAATTCAGGTTGGTCATGTGCAAGATAAGCACCATCACCACTGTACTATCTCTTCAGCCCTGGGTTTATTTAATTGAGTTTTCAATTTTAACTCATAATATACAATAATTGGAATTGATATTGTTATCTAGTATTCCTTACTCAAATATATATGTAGAAAAACATATATATTTGTATATACATTAATAAAAACATACTGAAATAATATATGTGATAGATACTAGAAATTAGATGCCAACTTAAAATTTATGTAAATCTAGAAATTCCTGATTCTGATGTAGAAAAAAAATCTGAGGTTAATAATAGTGCAAATAATACTGTGAGAAAATTAGTTTTGTCTTGTTTACATATATATTGTATATATAATGGATTTAATACATTTAAAACTCATTTCCCCAAGATCTTCCTAAAGTTCAAAAATCCTCTAAGTGTAAGGTTCTTACAATCTAAATAATGCCATTTTCATATTCTAATCTTTTTGTCTCAGCAAAGCCTAGCAAGCTACCTGTGACGTATTTGATATGCCAAAAACAGTAATCAAGTCTCACAATTTGTTGTAAGATGTTACTGGTGCCCACTCGAGCAAATTGATGAACAATGGGAGGACAGTGCTACAGTGCCAGGATGCAATATAGTTTTTCCTACAACTACAATCTTTCCTGTCACTCTTCATTTTTACTGAACTTATTCTTTCTTTTAGCACAGTAACAGTATCTGTTAAGTCAGCCTGGCTGAGCCAGGTTTAATTCCTCCACCCCTCTTGGAGAGCCCAGCAATCTACGGAGAGTATCTCGCCTGCACGGCAAAGCCTGGCAAGCTACCTATGACGTATTCAATATGCTAAACACATTAACAATAAATCTCAAAATGGGGACATTACTGGGTCCTCTTGAGCAAATCAGTAAACAGTGAGAGGACAGTTTAGGTACTAGGAGCAACGAACACAGTAACAGATTCCTAA